TGTACATGCCGTTGATATAAACTTTATTTATTTAGAAGAAATGTTGAAAAAAATCAGTAGAAATTATGAGAAGAAGGAGGCGAACCCATTACATCTTAACATAGATTGACTGAGGACAGAGGACAGCACTAGAATACATGTATAGAAACAATACACGGCGACAACATCTAAGAGAGAAAGTTGTAGTTACAGAGACATAATGGAAAAAACGACTTGTCGGAGACTGATCATCATTTTGAAAGGTGTAAAAACCTAACAAATAAATACATAACATTTGCAGCAGATTAAATTATTCATCATCAACAATTTTTTCTAAGTTACATATGATCAGAAAATTTCTCTTTGATGCAGAAAGACAGATGATTAGAAATTTTCTCTAATGAAGATGAGTTCAAAGGACAGTTCTAGTATTAGAAGATGATGAATTTTTTGTGGATGTAGTGATATATTTGTCCTGATATACTAATTGGCCTTTGGTTTTTAATATTAAAAAGCACGTTCGACTAATCGCGTGGTATCTTTTTTGGTGCTTTTCTACCTGCATCACATATAAAAATTATTGTGTCAATATCAACTGAGATGTAGAATTTCAAACTCTGCAGTATGTCATTCTTCACATGGCTTAGTACAATTCGGTATCAGATGGTGAACTCAGGATATTCTCTTAAAGAGCAAAAGATACCAAAAGCTGATACCTGGCATATTTTGTCGTGACTGTAAATATGATACTAAGATACTGTTTTATGTCTAGAAGATTAGTATAATTGCGCATTTGCACTTTATGGCACTAAGAAGGCAAAGAGGGAGAATTTGATAGACAAACATGTAAAACAAAACCTATGTCTCCACCGAAAACTAAGATCTAAGAACCTCTGATAACACGACAAAAACTCTAAGCGCTGAGCTACCGAGGCACGATCTAATATATGATCTCAGTTCACATGAATGATTTAACTGTTAGAGTCTCGAATGCTGACGCAGTATCGCTCGTGCAACGAGTAGTAGCAAGGTCGACCTCATCACAAGAGTTTATAATTTGATATGTCTTTTAGGTGTACATTTTCTTTCTACATGTTTATCGATCGAATTATGTCTCTTTCTCAGCCGTATAAAAGATTCATTTTCTTAGTTTCATCTAAAAGTCCTGTTTCAAATTCATTTTTTTAAAAGATTTAGTTTGATACATTCGTCAAAGAGACACTAACTGTCTGGAACATTCTAAGATTAACGCATATTAAATATTATTTCTTCGAAAAAGTCGTCAATAGAAGCGAGTTAACTGTACGTAAACTTCTTTCCAAGATATATGGAATGTTTGCATCGATCATATACGATTCATACTCATTTTGAGGTTAAGGCTATACTTCCACCTAAGGAAAAATTTATATGAAATGCGTAAATGTATACTGAAAAACTGAAAATTTGTAGAAGAATTTTTAGACCATTTCTCTCCCTTTCTACGTGCTCACATAGTATCGGGATCATGCCTGAGATGCGTCCAGTTTGGATTTGAGCTAAGCATGAATGCCTGTCACCGTTTCACTTCTTTTCCGTAAAATACTTCAAGGGAGATGAAAACTTTTTCGTTTTACCATATGTAGTCCTGCTTCTCTTATATCTACGACGTGAATTTAAAGAGATAGCTATTAATAGTTACTGAAAGACAGTTATTTTACTATCGAGATCCTGAATGATATGAAATCCTTTCCAAAATAATTCATAATTCATTATAAAAACATCATTTCGACTTGAAACTTGCAGTAGAATATTTAAGATGCGTAGAGTCTTTTTGTTTTAAAAATTTCACCTTTAGTCTCGCTAAACTCTAATTTCGATGGAAAAGACTTTTTCGATATAACCTACTGCTGTTTCAACTCAATTTTCTATGTTGAGTCTACTATTCACTTCAAAATAGAAGGCGAATGATTGTAAGTTGAATAACTCCGGAAATAGCTAGCGATCTGCGGTTTTCATCATTCGAAAGTGGACACCGACGCACGTAGCTGAAGACGAAATTCAATGGATTACCTATTGGTCCATCAGCTAAGACTTGGATAAATATTTTCAGGACGATATTCAAGAGTCACATTTCATTCTATTTTGAATCTAAACGTGACCATGCGGCAGAGAAAATTGTACTCTTTCGATCTACACAAGGCCGCCGCTGCTCGCTTGTTCCGTTCAGGAACTACAATTCCTGAGAGCCCTGATTTCGACCATTTGACCTTCAACCTCAAAATACATCACGATAGGAGTAATCAGCCACGCTGAGTCAAGTGGTAATGTTTGTTTTTAGTTTCAAAGCAATCTGAAGTAACTATATCAAGATTCTCAAAATATCCTCTGTATGTCTTATAGTGGCAGAGATATTGAGACAGTTGCTAGCCAGTTCTTTTTCGAAATGCTACTCCATAAGTCTTCAACATTTTTTCTAAAATTCTCAGAAATCCATGGAAAAACATGGAACTTTTTCTAGCGTAAAAACCATCTTTGATAGAAAATCGTAGTAGAGGTTAGTCTTAAATACGTACTATCCCCAAATAATTAAATTTACACATCTGAGTCTCTCGCAGTTTGTAGATCTTCGATTAGTGATCTGAATGTGAACCTGATTATTGAAAATTTATTGAAAACAACTTAGAGGATAGGTTTGTTCTTCAAAAGGTCAACTAAAAGCCTTGCAAAAGCTAGGTTAGAAAAATCAGTAATATATGGTTCGATGCGTCTTCATCTCCTCTTTCCAACGGTGAAAACCGCAGTTCTGTATCTTGTTGCTATCAAATGTCATTCAAAAAGTTCTTACGAACATTCATGCTACCAGGCCATATGCGAAAGAAACAGATCTTATCGAAATTTTATTATTATGATATTAGCTGAATAGTGATTAAATAGCATAGAAAAATAGAGCGAAAGACGTTCTATCTGTTCATAAAAAAAGAAAATTTTTTCAGGCTTTCTATAAGGAAAAAATAGTACCTCCGCCACTACTTTTGGATTGCCCTAAGTATTTCGAAGAGTTTCATTGATTGACTAAATCTTATCGAATACTTCGCCAAGCGAATGAAGCATTTCGAGGCCATATTGACCATCAAATGTTGGATATTCATTCAAAAACAAGTCTGACCAACCACGATTGTTGATGTCTTGAAAATTCATTGTTACTTCAGAATGGTAGAGAATTGTAAATACTGAGAAAACGACCAAAAAATAAAATCGATCTGCGTTCGATTCATCTGAAAGACTTTCAGTTTGTGATAGCATTTGTTACGGTCTTTGTTTTCGAGAAATTAAGCATGGTCGTGGTATCAGTCCGTTGTGTATCAATAGCAGATATTTGATTCAAACTTTCGATCATTGCATTTGTTGATTTAATAGTCCGAGTGCAAACGTCACGATTTACACGCCGTTGTCGTTCGCTCTTCAGACACAGTTGAATATCTTGAAGATGCTGTGAGACTGTGTTCGCTTTTTCTTCGGTATCGGTCATGTATCGCATAAAATTCATATTCGCTGAATTTAGGTGAACGAGACCTTCAAATATTTTTTCTAAATAGCTAAGTGCTTTATGTTGATAACGAACCCAAAATTTTTTCACCAAAACAGTGGCGGTTGCTGCGCATATTCCACCCAATATAAATGCACTGACAATAGCACCAACAGGAGGAAAAGCAGTTCCTGCAATGACTAATGCACCCACACCGCCAAATGTTTCAGCTACAACACATCCTCCAGCTGCAGCTGCACCTCCGACTGCACCAGCTTTCACAGAATGCTTGAAACAAAACTCTGCAATTTCCAATCGTTCTTTCACAATCATCTTTTTTGATTGAACTGATCCAGTCATATTGTGTATCCGATCGTCTAGCTTTTGACTTTCAGTTTTTGATGATTTAGCTATACTGAGTAAATTTTGTATTCCGGTTGACATTCGATCTAATGCAAGTTTGACATCTTTTTTATCAGTTTCGTTGAGCGCTTGAGTCGGATCTGTATTCATAACATCTTCAACGACCAACAGCTGGGACGTTGCAGCTGTGAGTAGAGGAAGCATCATGTTCACATTGTGCTTTACTTGCATTACCATCCGAATGAAGCATTGAATGAGATCACGAAGTTCATTCGCCATGTCGCTGTATTCTTGCACTTCTTTTATCATGCTTTCAATTAGTTGTTTGATACTTTCCACCAATTCGGGAATTTTAAGCAGTTTTTCAGCAAACGGTAACGAAGAAAAATTGGTTGCGATAGATAAAAAGTGTCGAAAACGATGTGTTTGATCATCACCAGCAAGAAAACCATTTCCCTTAACTGCCACTTGTAATGATGATTCAGCTATTTCACCTGCATTGAACGTCTCCCAGCTGTCCACTCGCAAAAGTTTCTCACTAATCCCTTCGATATACGCTTTGACTCCTTCTTCTTGCATTTGTTGCTGTTTTCTCGCCATTTCAATTATCTGTCGTGATACGTCGCAATTATCCGTTGTATTATCAATTGTCATATCGCAAGTGTTGTTGCTATCCATTGTTACGTGAATCTAATGAAAAAAGAAAATCGTTTGTAATTGAACGACTTTTTCTCATTTATCCTTCGTTAGCTTCTTCATCTGTTACTCTATATTCACTGCAATTTAACACATCAAATATAGATACACTGTGTTGCTTTTTGGATTTATCACGACTTATTTTTTATGAGTCATTTGTTTATGAAAGTAACAACAAGCGTCGAACGAAAAAACCGCTTACCTTGCCCTAGTAACAGCAGAGAAACAATACTTTTTAAAGTGTAGACAAATATAATTCACATAGCTATTTAAATATAACATGATATGTAAGCACTGGGAAAAAATCGTAGAGAATAATTTTATAACTCATTCCGACTTTTCTTGTGTTTATATATAGACAAAAGGTTAAATAAGCTGTTCTTTTGTCTCACGCACAGAGGCAACGCTCGCTTATATTTTTTTTCTTCGATTGGAAAAAACTCAGTATATCTATTGACTTTACAACATCATATATTGACTCATGCAAAAAGGAATGGTGTTTTCGCGTAGAAAGGTGATAAAAATGATAATTATTAAAACGACGCATTTTTGTTCCAGTGTTAAGCCTCCTCTCCCCCCACTCAAAAACCCATTTTTGTTCCAGGACGTCCGATTTGGCTGAATTTTTCAGGGCATGTGTGTCCCGTCCTAGAGAGTCCACAGTAAAAATTTCAGCGCAAAATATTGAGTTGTTCAAGAGTTATCCTAACATTAAGGGTAAGAAAGTAGGTGTCCGTGTGCTCCAAGTTTCTTCTTCAGATCTAATGAAACAGATTTTGGGTTGGTGTCAAAGTGTAGCCAACATCTGTCGCTACCAGTTAACATAGCCCGATTTTTTAAAGACTTTGTTTATTTTTGGCGAAAGTGTTTTTCACAAAAAGCCCAAAAACTTAGCCCTAATTTTTTGGAAAATCTTTCTTTATTAATAAATGAAATCGAAAATAAAAATCTGACTGTGTTAAGTTGTAGCGGTAAGCTATGGCTACACTTTGACCCGACAACGAAATCTGTATCATGAGAACTGTAGGAGAAAACTGCGACGTACGAACAGGTAAAAGTAGAAAAACTCATTTCGAGAAAAACGCAAAACACGAACGCAAAACACGAACATGTTAACGTTGTTTGCTTTATGAATTTCAACTGGGTCACACAGCAGCCGAAGCTACGCGAAATATTTGCTTTGCGATCGATCAAGGTGCTGTCTCTCAAACTAGAGTATATTCTTAGTTTGATCAACTTGAAAAACTTAAAACCGAAGTCACAAAGAAATGTGCAGAGCATTACACAGTTTATTTCCTTCATGACAATGCTCGACCTCATGTTGCAAAATTGACTAGTAAAATGTTATTGGAGCTCGGTTGGGAATTGTTACCTCATCCACCATACTCATCAGACTTAGCACCAACAGATTATCATTTGTTCCGCTCATTGACCAACAATCTGAGAGATAAAACGTTTGATGATGAAGAGGCACTCCAACAGTATCTGAGTCACTTTTTTGATTCGCTTCCCAGAGAGTTCTATGCCAATGGTATTCATTCTTTGCCTAAACGTTGGGAGAAGGTCATAGACAACGAAGGAGCATATAATATTGATTAATAGCAGTTTATTAATAAAATAAAATTTAAAAAACATTTTTAATTAATCTTCTTGTTAGTTTCTTGACAACCCAATACAATCGAAAAAAGTACGACAAAGAATAACAGATTTTTTTATCGATTTACCCTATGAAATAACTAATTTTCAATTCGTCTGATGAATACTGTAAAGCACCCAGGTAATGTTTACATAAGAAAGAAAATACATTAAATTACAAATAGGCTCACATTTTCTTATTTGTTTTTTTTTAAAAGCAAGAGCAATTCTGCTTTTTCCCTTAACTTAATAAAAGCTGAGAAATAATCATTGGCCAATCTAGCACATTCACATGAAACAGTCAAATAATGAGAAAAAAAGAAATTCCAATGCTGTAATAAAAAGTTTTAGATGCATAGAAAATTGTTACTTTGAAATTATATTCGTTCTGTGTTTTATTGTTTCTACCCAACCAGTCAAAATATTTTGACACTTGAAGAACAGTAGCCTACGAATAAAAACATACAAATCATTTAAAAGATTAAAAATCAACAGTTTGAACCTGTGCTTTATTCTTATACCTTAGTTAATATTTCTTTTCTGTGAAGCAGATACAGGTTGTTGTTTGACTACTCTACAGATTGGTCCGATTAGTGGCATACGGTGTGTACCTTCATTCTTAAGCGGATGAACGTATGTATAATCATACGAGATAAGAACGTTGAATGTGTTAAGTTCTACAGTTCTCGACTTCTACGCTTGGAAGTCTTCGGGTTCGTTGAAGAGAACATCGGAGTTTTACGTTTAATGTTTTTTTGAATGTAAACTACAGCGAAACTGTCCATGACACCTCCTAAAATTTCCTTTCTATCAAACAGGTAGTCGAAAAATATTCATTCAACATTTCAACTTTATCTTTATCGTTTTCTACTTGTTCACCATTCACATTTTTTGATGATGGAACCGACAATACCGAAAAGTAGAAGAGTATGAAAAGTATGAAAAGCATGAAAGGGATGAAAAGTAGAAAAAAGAGTACTGTCCATCCAAAAAGTCGGTGCATGTGACTATTTTTTGAATAACTCGGCATCAAATAAAGATAGAGACTTGCAATTTTCACCATTCGATAGCTAAGGCTTGAGGCTATCTTCCCATGAG